CAAATTTTTATATTCGTGGGTTGAATAAAAATGTAAACATTTACAAAAAAAAAAAAAATAAAAATAAAACGATAGGGAGACATTAGACTCGAACTCATGTCGCGATTGACCTCTTGGCCCTATACAACTTTGGTCGTACAAATTTGTCTTATATTGAAGAGCTTGTCTTGGCCTTAAATTTGAATGCCATATGACTAGAGGGGTATAATAACTGTTTTAAATATTAAAAAATTGAAAAGTATAATATACATGAATGTTTAAGAACGTTATTTCCTCTAATTAAAAATTTTAGAATTAATTAAATCTTATTATTATATTATATTATAATATATTTATTTTTAAATTAAATTAAATATTAAAAATTGATACCTATAACATAATATTTATGAGAAACAATTTTATAAAACTTGATTTTATGACAATCAAAATTATGATACTTGAATCTCAAACACTTAACCTAGTATCTTGTAGTATCAACAGCTATCATGTGTAACTTGAATGTTGTGATTTGTTTTTGGGAGATTCGATATGAATATATTATACAGAATAGGTATTAGATCACTTCCTTGAGATATTCTAGCATTAATTTTTAGTAAAAAAAATAAAAATTATTTTATTTTATAGTGAAAAATCTGTCTTCAAGATAGGATTATAGAGAAAATATGGAGCACGTAAAAATTATTTTAGTTTAAACAACTGTCTATTATGCTAGCGCGGTCAAGTGCTTGTGTGAGAAATACATACAAAAAATACATCTGGAAAATTTGTTAATTATTGACTAATAGGGAATTAACGAACCTATTTAAAAATATCGTACTACTAATGGGGCTGAATCATTTCATAGAAATTATAAGTAACAATTTTATCATACACATATATTTATCAAGTAAATTATATTTTAAACCTTATTAAAAATTAATTATGTCAACAAAAAGAAAATCAATATATTACATAATAATACTAAAGAAAAATAAGAGTATACATTGAAATTATGGGAAGAATATCAAATCAAAAATTAACAATCATAGGTTATATTAAATAAATGGGTATGATATACCTTACTAATAAAAAAATTTAGTGAATAAATTAATAAATTATATGAAAATATGATACATTTTTAATCATACTAAATAGAGTTAACTGAAAGTCCCAAGTCTCTAAAAATGAGAAGGAAAACATTTTAGTTCATTTGAATTTCATAAATAGGTACATAAACACTATAAAAAAAATGTACCTTCTAAACGTATTAGAGGATCGTATAAATTTAGCTCCAATAATATGTGTAAATTCGCCCAAATGATATGAATCACAAATTAATTTGCCCAAATATAAGCCATCCGTTTACACCGTAATGGAAGCATTTGGAGTGATTATTACAATACGATTTGGTGTGGCCGTAGTATGATAATTTAATGACTATATAAAAATTTGAAATAAATTTTTTTTAACAAAATACCATTGAACGAATTGTATTAAATTAAATTATTGTTTAAACAAACTTTATGATAATCATTTTCTCATGTTCATTGTTAGAACATATTTTATTCATACACTATTTATAAACAATTATTTATGAAAAAAGTGATCTATTTAGGAAGTGATTTTATAATTAGAAAACTTTAAAAGTCAGAGTTTATTACCGTGCTTAACAAAAGTTGTGTCATTAAATTTAGTAACTTATAATTGTATCATTGGTAGTTAAATTACTTTTTTCTTTAAGTTTAATTAAGAGTTGGGTAAACTACAAAATAATGTTGATTAAGTATATGATAATATCACCAGAAAAATAAAAATTATAAAGTTATTGATTATATACAGACTTTTTTAAATTAATTGGGATCGAGTGATAGAATAATTACTAATGAAATAAATTGAATATTGTTTGTTTTGTTGATAGTTTAGTTATAACTTATTGGTTTATACACTTATATTTTATTGAATGATTATTATAATATGTAACATATTAATAATTATTTTTAATGACTTTATTTATAACATTTTTTCATGCTGTTTGGGAATTAGTGTAGTATTATATTCACTATATTAGATCATCTCGAAAAAATGCAATGTACATTTTTTTTTTCAACCCGAAGGTTGGTCTACAACTCCAATTCTCCATTTTAATCGAATATACATATGGCTAGAAAATTATTTGGTACATCAGATTACTTTTTATATTAATATTTCTTGTTGCTGAATAAATGCTTAGCTCTCAAGCTATTATTAGCAATTTTTTTTAAAATAGTTTGTTTTTGCATGTGTTATGAGATGGCACTTTAAAAAAAAAAGTTGGTTGAACTTATTATATGGTTAAAAAGCTCGATTTTCTAAAAATTATTTTATTTTAATGTTCATATAATCAATATAAAATAATATATAATGCTTATATCTACGTAGGTACCTACTAACGCCAAATTAGTATACATATGGGACGAATACATTTCACGTTTCAACATTTAAGTTATGTAATATAATTATATATATAATTATTACCGATTCGCAACTCTACTTGCTGTGCAACGTGGAGACATTTCGGTTTGATAATCGTAAATTATACATTAGTTAACAAAACAACCACCCTAATTCACTTCGCTTGTTTGGGGAAGATCTCGCTACACGAGTCCAACCAAATCGATAACAGCCTTCAATTTAATATGAAAAACCAATTCTGGTGTAAAAAGATAGGTTCATATCATAAAAAGTAAGTATGATGGAAAATTTTTGATTTTACCAAAATTTCGAGCTTAAAAACCTAAAATTAAAAAAAAAAAAAATATTCAACAATTTTAGAACATTTTGAAGTTTTTTGATCATTAATTCTAAAGAAAATCTGACTAACTTTTTTGAATGTAACATCTGATTATACATGCGTTGAAAATTACAAGTTGAAAAATAAAATTGCTAAAAATAGCTTGAGAGCTAAACTACATTAATGCCCTTGTTGCTGTTCCATTTGCGATTTATATCTGATTAGTTTATACAAAACACACGTACATTTTTATCATATTTAACTAATTATTAGTTTTGCAAAGAATTATTACAAATAGAGTAAACAAGAATGAAAATGTGGCATTTATTGTGTGGGCGGATATGATATTTTGTTGTTTATTACAGAGGTCATTAGATTATATTTCTTAATACCTATCTTTGTGAATAATCCTCACGTTAAAAGGCAAATAAAAAAAAAATTTACCCACGTTCCTCCTTTGACTGTTTACATAACATTGTTTAGGATGTATACAGTTTTTAAAAAGAGCTGTTGGTAAATAATTGATTTTCATAAGCACAACTCAAGTGCACGTTATATTTTATGTTCGAATATAATGTATACGATCTTATTATCTGCCGAGAGTTGAATATTACAACGGGTGATTAGAGCTATTATATCTTAAAGCTTGTTGTTTTAAAACCTTTATATGCTATATTGTTACAATTTGCCATGTGTTACATTGTAGGTTATTACTTATAATGGACTCGACAATAAAATACAGGTAACTTTTATGAAAGTCTCTTCATGATCGAAAAATTTGTAGGTATATCCGTTTTATTTTTTATTTTGTCGAACATTTTCACAAGATTATCATTATCATATTTTTACATGAAAATAATAAAACATACAAGTACAATTTACTTTTAATTTTTAAAAATTATCGATATAAAAACCTGTACTGCATGATAATAAATCCTCTGATAAATCTTGATAAATAATTTTTTTTTTTTTTTTTATCAATTTTGCGGAGTATATTGTATAATTGGAATGGACTTAAAATTTTACTATACCTGTACGATCATTAGCACTATTAGATGCATTATTTACGTACGCCAAGCATTATACGATGGTCTACAGTGCTGCGTCAAGCTATAATATATTTGTTAGGTGGATATTATAAGGACGTAAAATATGTGGTGTACCACAGGTTTTTGTTTGTCCTCTATCTGTAATAGTAATAATAATAATTATAATATTCGATCAGCTTTAGTCCTTACCGACGACGCGCGCGTATTAATTGATCGATGCGCCATGCGATAGGTGTGTGCGATTTTCAACTGTGCGCGTACATAAAACAAACAAATGTACCACGTAATCGTCTACGCGCGCGCGTTCCAATATTTTTCAGTTTCCACAAATTCTAAACCTAACCTCGATAACATTTATTTGTGCATAATGTTGTGTACGATACACAGGTGAGCGAATACATTTTTGTTTATAACGCGTCGCAAAACGCATTTCGAGATGAATATGTGTAACAGTGTATATTATATTTACACTGCATTATATATGTACAAAGCATATTAGTTATACACATGCACACGCACTGTATACGAGTGAATATTATCGTTTTATTTCGATGCGTTTGAAAATCCTACCACATTTATTTTCGACCATTTTGTACACGTAATAAATAAATACTGAGTTTCATGTTTTCAACGTGCTCATAAATCGCTATTTGTACGTAATCAATAATACACGTATAGATTGCATAAATTCCGTTTCTAATTAGTCCACACACGTGTACGCCGTTTCCGTATACCATGCATTATAATTTATAAACGCGATTCGAGTGCATGGAATATTATGAATATTATGTATTTATAAATTAAACGTGCAGCAAGGGTCGTATAATCTAATCAAAAATGTGTATCCGTTTTATGATTATGTATACAGTATATATTATGCGTGTACCGAGGGATCGATAGTTTAGAAAACGAAAAAAAATACAAAATCTATTGTACGTAATTATACTTACCGCCCGAAATACCTAACGATTATATATTTTCTATGTGCATGTGCTGTATAAGTGTATTGTGTGTAATTAATCCTTCCGCGCGGTTGGGATTACGCTGCAACACGAGGCTATATATGTACACGGTATATGGTGTATGTGTGTAATCCCTTCCGTGTGACTTTGTACACGATTTAGACGGTTCGGTCGAATAAATTCGAATTTCGTGTTTTATTTTATTTATTTTTTTTTTTGTTTTGCTCCGTTACCGTTTAGGTTGAGAAGTAGCAGAAGTAGCAGTCATTTGTCGCGGCTGATATACTCCGCATTCGCCCGATCCGGTATTATAAATGATGTACGATTAGACCGCGTTTAATGTGTGACCGATCCGGCGGACGAGCGCACGGTCTTGGCACGTCCGAGGGTCAAATATAAGAGAGAACGATATACCTATATAACGGTACGGTGATCGAACCCCGCGGTCCGGCTGCCGGTTAAAACGATGATGGACGAGGAGATCCAGGAGACGGTCGAGTCGATCCTGGGCAAGGGCGTGGTGGTGGTGGACTGCGAGAAAAAGTCCAGCGTCAAGGAGGAGGAGGTGCTGCTGGTTAACGGGTGCCCGGTGTCGCTGGACGGTGACGACGGCGCGGCCATCAAGCGGGCGATGTTGCGCGGTGACGTGCCGGACTGCGATCTGCTCAATCAGATACTGCTGCGTGCCGGCATACTGCGCGCTCCCGTGCACCTGGAGACCAACCTGAGCGTCAAGTCGACGGTGGTGACGCGCGAGGAGGTGACCGTGGCCCGGGCCGGCCGCGTGGTGGACGAGCGGTCGCGCGAGACCAAAGAGGACAACTATTACACGAGCGCCACGTCCGAGGTCTGGGAACCGGTGACCGTGGTCAACGAGCCTGCCGCCGCCGCGGCGTCCGCTACCCCCGCGCCGGCCGCGGCCACCGTCGGGCACGACGCCTCCGCGCCGTCCACGCCGCACCGCCGTCCGCCGGCCAACCCGGCCAGGTACAAGGAAACGGTGACCACGAGCAGCAAGCGCACCGAGGACGGCGTGGACTGCGGCGCTTCCCGGCCGGCCGACGATTTCGCGCACACCGCGCACGTCACCGACGGCGACAGCCTGGCCAACGGTGTACGCGTGATCAAGTTGAACGGTATACACGATCCCAGGGGCGACTACCGCATGCCCGTCATGGCGAAGCACGGTTCTCCGGCCGATGACGTAAGTGACGCGTACAGATAAATAAACAACGTGGCGCACACCGTTATTAGACTTCTCTGCTCATTAAACATTGATTCCAATTCGAATCGTTAGCGGTTCGCTTGGCAGCACGCTGTTCATCTTCCACTGACCTCATTTCCGATGTAATAAACTGTTGATAAATGTTTAACATCGATAAATATAACATTGCGATTATATCATCTCTTAGACAATCAAAGGCTATATGATAATATAGCTTTTGATTGTCTAAGGATTGATTCTCTATCTATAAGGTTATATTAAGGCTTTATACTTCACCTAAACATCTCATTAAATAATAAAATTTACTTCCTTGAAATCGCTCTGAAATACGGTGAACTCGACGAGACTAAAATAAATCAGGATAGGTAACAATTACATCACCGAATTAATCACTCCAGAAAACGTCCAACGAACGCTCGTTTTATCTTCATTAGAATTTCCTACCAGGGTTTGGACCTTCTTTTATAATCTAATGTTTAATGTAATTCGGAAATGCCCTTTATAGGTCACTTATCGAATTATCCTTAGCTTTTCGAGAACACAGAAAAAGTACTGGATGAAAAAAAACATGTATTACATACTTTCTCTATCACATAGACCGACTGTTTACATTTATTTTATATAATCATGAAAGTGATTATGACTATTAAATATAAATTATAGTTTTATTTATACTAAAATATTGCTAATTTATCTAGATAAACTATAATAATATTGAAGTTGAGTGCAATAATAAAAAAAATTTATTTAGTACTCCTTTTTAAACTGATTCTTGAAGATATTATATTGATAAGGATTTCGAGTATAGTTTACTTTTATTTAATCTTTAATTATGACAATGAAAAAAATAGTTAAACAATACTAATTATCTATTAACATTTTTAGATAGGTTTTCTTTACCAAACTCAAGTGTCTCTTATTATGAAAGATTAAATGTGGGAATCGAAAATAGTGATTTTGATCACAATAAAAATGTTAAGCACATGATATTATAGGTATCATATTGTAATTACTATTAATTAAATCGTATATACTGTTTACATACAACGAGGAAATAAGCTATAGTTCATGTGTAGTTTTTTTTTTTAAATTTTTATGTTTACGTTATGTTTATTTCATATATGCTGATGATACGTTTTGTTATATTGCATTAACACTTGATAGCGTATTCTATACTATTTAGTATCAGTCGTACACTTTTTAGAGTACCAGCTCGACAATAGTCTTAGAAAATAACAGGAGAATGTTGGCTTATCCAGAATCTGCGTCAGTAATATTGTTTGTTATGAGAAACGGGTATATTACCGTTGTTGAATTTATTATCAGATGTTGGTTTAATTTTTATGATGCATTTTGGATCTCGAGTGTAAACAGAATTAGGGATGAACAGATTTGAAATATAGCCATAGCCCATATCCATATTCATACACATTTATTATTATATATTTAATTTGTTATGTATGATAAGTTGTAGCATTAGGAATAAAATTAAATGATTTAAAGAACATAATATTATATACATAATATTATGGTACTAAAAATGAATACTACCCTTTATTTTTATAATACAAAGTAAAATTTTTATTGATTTTATTTAGAAAATCTGTAAATGAACATGTACGAGGATAAATCTTTTTCTAAACAGTACTGGTTATCAAATATTTCATAAATAATTTATTAATTCAAATACATCAATTTAAACATTTCCCCCCATTATTTTAGCTTTCTTATCTGGAAAATCCATCAATCTAGAGTATAATTATTAGTTGTGAACTGCTATGCATATCTGTTTGTTCTCAATGGTAATAGTGAAGCTTGAAGAACTACCACGTTGTGATTTTTTTAAGCCACACCGTGTTTTATTATTTGTTGAAATATTGTGTGGATTCATACAATTTTCGCTATATTAATTTCATTGTGTTATACGAATTTATTGTTGTAGACGATATGTGTAATGTGTACAGTGTTCGCAAGTTTTGGTATCCAACGTTTTTCGTATCCAAAGGCATTCCATTTCTTGAACGACATCATTGGTATCATTATGATAGTAGCAATAATTAAAATACTATTAAAATCGAGTACTTGTACAAGTATATATTAAATATGTATATATGAACATATACTAGAACATTTGCAAAAATCTTAAGTTTTACCCACAAAGGCCTCTGTAGATGCGTGAAAGTTTTCACCATACTGTGAGCTTAATTATACATATTACAATAGAGTTGTTTTTTTTTTTTTTTACAAGTGTTTGTAGTCTGTGCAGTTTGTGTACTTAGGATCCTAACCACTGTCGTTACTGTAGGTTTTGCCTTGTATCACAGTACATTATTATATTATCGTTAAGTAGAGTTTATTCAATTTTTTTTGCAATGATTTCATTAAAAAAAAAAAGAAGTTTTATAACAAACGAGTTAAAACTTTCGTGATTTTTTAAAACTGTTTGTAGTACGGTGCGTATAAGTATATACTTACACATTTTTATTGTTATAAATATTGTATAATATATATATATATATATATAATAGGCTTTTGTTTAATAGATATTGTTTTTCCACTTTCTAACGTACGTATAATGTGTGTATTGTAATATTATTATGTTAATATACGCATGTTTTAAGCATGTATAATTCTTTGGTATATATATATACGTGGCTTTTTTCTATAATCTTAGCTCTATTCAAAAATATATGTGTTAATTTTGCATTTGTTTTCGATCCGATGTATCCATATAGTATATGTGCACTTAAGATACATGCGTACACCATTATTGTTATATCCGCTTTCCAAATAATATTTATGTATAAATATATATCCTCTTTCGTAAAACGTCTTTATTTTATTGTTCATTATTGTATTACAGTGACAATGGTTGGATATCACAATGATTATGTATGCTTTCAGAGGAAATTGAAATAAAAAAAATTGCTCATTTATGTTTAATACTTATTAGTGGTGGGCCAAATGGCTCATTTTGATACAACTGCAACAAACTTTTATAAAGAGTGGTATTTTATTTCATCAGCTATGTATATTTTTATAGAGAATAAATTGTATGTACAAATGTATTATACTTACACAATAGTTTTATTTTTAAATTCAAATGCTTATTGCAATGACTATTTAAAAAATTGCCAAATATTCAACTACATAATACGTAAAAAGTATAATATTATTTTTATCATAATACATGTAAATTTTTAATTCCAGAGAACAGCCCACGGATTTGTGAGGTTAGGCATAAAGGGGTTGTGGTGATGTTAAGTATTTAAATATGAAAATTTAGCGAATATTTACTATAGTTTTTTTTATAATTGTTATTAGGATCATGTTTATAATATGATACTAGAGGTTATTCTAGAAATATTTTACTTACCTATATAAATCCATATATATATATATATGTATACAATAAATACGTGTGTTTTATTTAAATTAAAATATCGTTTATCAGTTGATCTTATATCAAACCCTATTATTATTTTTTAAAAAGAGTATGTAATTAATAACTATAATCAAGTCACTTTGCAACAACCTATAAATATAACCTACTGGTTGTTGGAAAAATTATAGAAGTCTTTTACAATTTTATTGAATTAAGTCTTGTTATTATATCTTGAATTATTTTTCTATCATTGTGAAGTACTAAAATATTCATATTTACAATAATTTGAAAATGTTTATTCTTTAACTCAAAATAAATAAGTTATTTTGATTCCAAATGTTAAATAAAGTTATTCTTAATACAAATATTTTATTTATATACAAATATGATATGCTAGATACATTTTAATTATACCATTATTGTGTACTCAATAGCCATAATAAAATAATTGGACAACCTATCCAACGCATACACTAAAATATTTTATAAACTAATTTATAAAATTTAATTAATGTTTTGTACTAAATGCAATGGTTATTATTAATACAATGAATGTTATAATTAACGCTGGGTGTTAATAAACTATACAATAATAATATAAAACATTTAAGGTAGTATTAACTATTGGATATTTCATTTAATATAATACGTGCACTGTTTTATAAAAGGGTAAACATTAAACTACAAGTATAGTATAATACAAACACTTAAACCATAATGTAAAATATAATATTTAAATTTTAGTTATCAAGTTAACTAAAAATTTGTATAAAAAAGTACGTGTAAGAAAATATGAATATACAGCTATTGTGCGAAGTTATCGCATTCAAACGCACATTGATCAGATAATAGATTTTTAAAAAAATATTTGGTTATGTACACTATTAAAAATATTAAGTATAAGAGATATATTGTTTTTCATATATTATGGTGTTTGATATTTACCTAGTAAAAATATTTTTTATTAAAATTCAGATTTATATCTGTCTTATGTCTTTCAGTGTTATTTTTATAATTTTACTTGTTTTATGTAAAAAATAAAATATGTATTTACTTATTACCATTTTAATCTACCTATAAAGTATATTATAGGTTAGTTACTGTATTTTCTATATTTTTTTTCGGTGAACTGTTAAGTTAACTCACTCAAATATTCCTCATGTAATGCCAGTCATCAGTATTTATATCTCTATTACGTATAAGTGTTAAATATAATTATTGTATTAATTTAGAAAAAAGTTAATAATCTTAAAAAATTATAAATTGATAACACTGATTTCAGTTAAATATTGAAACATTCAGTCATATGATAATAATTATGTATTAAAAATTCAAATCACTTATATTTAACTGAAACTGAAAAAAAAATTGAAATAATTTTAGTAAATAAAAAATTAGGCATTCACTAAAAAATTATATTTATTCTATTTCTTCATTAGTTGTCACCGTTGTACTTATACAATTAATTGTTATTTACAATTATTAAACCTGGAAGTTAAAATTTGGTGCTTGTCACTAAATGCTTAATTTAAAATCGGGTAATGATAAGAAAATTTGATTTGTCTTATGAAATAAAAACTTACAATTTTCAAATATACTATTAACTATAGTAAGACAAAAAATATATATACACAATTTTGTGTTTTAATTTTCTTTTATTGAAAAGATCACAGCAGTGATATTACTTAAACTATACTTAATTAAATATATTTTAATTTATATACTTGCATATACAAGTATATAGATTTTATATAAGTTTTTACGAACATTTTGATAAATGAATAAATATCTAAGAATAATTTAAATTAACGTTTCTTTGTTAATCTTATTATAAATCGATTGCTTCGGTTACGTTAAGTATGTGTATTTTATTTATTGTTAAATGCTGAAGAGTGCCTATATTTTATTGGAACTTCACCAACTGAAAACGTTCATTATAGTATTATTAATTTTCTTGTGTTAATTATGTTGTTGATAATTATAGCAATGTGTCCCTGATGACTTCCTACTTAATTTATTGCGTTTAATTAACTGATTTTAGGTACTTCTGAAGTGCTAAATTAAAAATGTCCCAGTTAGTAATTAAATTCTCATGATATTTGCGTGTTTATTTAAATATTTATATATATATATATATATATTTAATTTCTATAGTGGAAAAAGTGAAAACTTTAAAAGATAAAAGCTGAAATAAATTGTCAGTTACAATATACTTTGTTTGCAAATTTCTTTATTTAACTCAAGTGATGATTGTGTAGAATTTTTATCTTAAATAAATTTAACTTATATCAAATGTACTTGCATTCATTTTTGATGCAATCGTGTATTTATGTCGAAAATTAAAATTTCAGTTTATTATTATTTTTTTTTTAATGCACTGTTATAAATAAAAAAATGATTTCGCCATATCAAAATTTATCCAAAAGATATGTTTCTAAAATTCAATCTTATAACCGGTTCGTAACGTTATAAATAAATTCATTAAAACTTTATATGTACCTGTAAAATATATAGGCGATGTACGTGTATATATTTTATATATGAGTATAACCTTATTTTTCGTTGAGGAAGTGATACCCAATTTATTATTTTATTACAACCTACGAAATTTGTCGAATCCAATCAGTGTTACAATACATATGAATATATATCTCATTAGCATATTTGATTTATTATTATTTTTTTTACGCGGGCGATGGAAAGGTTTTTTTATGGTTCAAACTTTAATAATTTACATATAAAATATGCACCCAACATATTACTCTATTACTGTATATAATATATAAATCACATACAGTGTTCTTATTTGACACATTCCGCGTACCTACCTTATATTTGATGAAAGCATTTTGACTTTTTTGACAGTTTGGAAGTGGAAAACTTCATTACGACGAGGTATTCAATTTTCATGAAGTTGCTTATATCATGCACAGTGTGCATTGCACACATTTAATTAATTTATTAAACGTATTAATTATTGGGTGTATAAATTATATGCGACACATTAGTTTTCTATTCAACGCTTGTAGGTATTTTATATTTCTTATAATTTATTATAGTAATTCGTAACATTTCATTTAGGATTTTTTTTTTTATAAAATAAAAAGCATATTTTTTTAAAATTATTTACTGTAGCATTTTGTTTTAACGCTATACGCTCGCTATGTGTATTATGGTTAGGTATATAAAGACTTTTCATAAAATTGAATTAAAAAAAATTCTCACAATTTTAACAAAAGTCACGAAAGGATATAGTTTTCATTTTCGCATTCCTCATTAACAAACATTTTTCAAGTATAAAAAGCTTTTAAAGCATAGTATGATACTTAACGTGACTGAATGTATGTTTGCTTTATCCAACTGTTTCACAATAGCGATAAAGCGTATTTTGTTGTTTTAAGATCATTGAATAAGTAAATAATATTTTCTCTTGAGTTCTTCTGTTGTTTAAGTGGTCGTTTAAGTGTTGTAAATAATTCGAATAATTAATATTAATAATAATAACTAATAATTTTCTATATGAATGTGTATAAAATATTTTTAAATTTTATTTTTTACATCAAATTCGTTTTACAAAAAATATTATTTACGTTTGTGTAATATATTTATCTTAAAATCGTATGACTTTATAAGAAACCGTATACAATAACATTCAAATTTGTAATAGATATTTTTCAAATATTTATCGGTGATGCATGATATTTTTTAAAGGTTTTATATTTTCCCTCCTCCATTGAATTGCTTTTCCGTTTCGTAGTAAGCAAGTATAGCTTTGCTGTCGTTCGATGTTGATACAATGAAGTTCTTTATTCGTACATCACGCATAGCAGTGTCGTATATAGGAGGGGTTCCTAGTGCCCCCCCCCCCCGAAGTATTTAAAAAAAACTTAAAAATTATTTTAAATGTTTGTTATATTTTAATTGTGCTTTATGCTTATTTAGAAATAATTTTATTAAAAAAAAAAAAAAAAAAAATAGAAAAATGATTTTAACCTGGTTGCATTTATTTTATTCAATTGTACTTCAGTAGTTCATTAAAATGTTTTAGGGTTCTCGATTTATGGTTTA